ACTTAAGTAAATTAATCAATTCCAATAATTAAAAGTTATTTAAGTTGGCTGATTACACTAAAAAAAATGTAACAAGAAATTTGTTTTAACAAATTAATCGTAACCGTAACAACAAAGTAAAATAAGAAATTGTTTAATACACGAACTTAATCCAAAACCATATAGCCGAAACTTAAGACCTTTCCGCACAAAATCGATATGGGTTAATATGGCTACATAAACTTATATATGTACATGGATCTGCATAAAATGCATTTGTTGTGATTGTAGAATAGTGTTGTTGTAACCCGCAGGGACCTGCTTGTATCCCTTTGATTCCCTTTGAAGGGTGCTGAATGTCACTTTGTTATCGTAATTGACGAGTGTCTCCGGGACGTAGTGCCGGCCATTCTTAGAAGTTTTATAGAATAGTGTCTAGTAATCTGCTACAGTAAAGGTATTTCACATTTTGAAAAAAGCTTAAAGCAAAACACTCGAAATGTTATACCATACCAATCTGTACAATAATCCAAACTAGAACTCGACAAATAGTGTCTGATTTCTTTAGATTCTAAGGTCGTGTACAATGCAATGTCAAAAGGGTGTTTTCGGGACCAGTGTTAGGTTCAATACTGGTCATTATAAGTAAGAAAATAACAAGAAGCCCAGTACTTATTTCTATTTGGAAAAACATAAAAGGTCTAATAATGTTAAAAATGTTTATTCAATACTGTTTCGTATTCAAATTGATAATTGATTGATCCCTTTGGAAAATCAAAGTATTGCATTACTAAATAAACTTAAGACATTAAATCCATTTTGCAGTTATAGATTTGATGCTGTTATCATTGCACTGAATAAAATATGACCTAGCGTCATTTAAAATCCTTCAGTCCACTACTAGGTTGACTAATAAAGAAGTGAAACAATTATTTTGATTATTTATAAACATTTATAAAACTTATTTATAAAACATTTTGTATATGTTACAGTGATTACGAAAAAATACTCATGCGACTTACAAACATTATAAGAGGTTTAGGAGATCCATTGGTAGCTGCATATGCACGTTGTTATCTTGTACGTGTGGGTCTAACTGTGACTCCAAATAAAGAATATATTTATGAAAATTTTAAAAATTTTTTAAGCGTTTATTACATGGTAAGCACATTTATACTATATTAATACTATTTGTAATTTCCCCAATTTCTAAATTAAAAATTTTTTAATCAATTAAAGATATTCAGTGGTTCAATACGTTCTGAAATAAATCGGCAGCGCATTGATATCAATACATATTTGTCATTGTATGGACCAGCATTGGATTTTGTACTTCAAGCACTTATACACAAAACAAATCTTTATGTCGAGGATATCATGAGCAAATGCAAGGAAACGAAAAATAAGTAACTATGTTAATATTTTCAATGTTGATTTGTGAAAAACTGTGTTTTCTTTACTTAGTGGTCCACTCTTGATGTCTATCTTAAATGCGCTCAAATCGGAGTATATAGCAGCAAATGCTATGGAATTTGTGAAAATTTTGGGTAATACAAATACTGATGGTACTTCAAAAGGACTATTATTTCGTGCATTGGGAAAAAGTGTTTGTCGTTGTCCTCCACTACAGGAACAGCGTATATCTTTTTTAAATGCTTCATTTCATACTATTAATACCTTTACTGATCCCAAAGAGTATATAAATTGTGTTGAAGCTTGGGCACAATTTGTAGCTGAGAACTTCTCCGTAATTTAATTAAGTATTCCCTTCAAGGAATATTATTAATAAGCGACTTTTCTTAATTGCAGGTCACAGAGGTCAATATTTTTCTGGGCAATATCAATACACGCATGAGTATAGGTAAAGCTTATGAAAAACATTATCCACAATTGCAGAATATACTCGATAAAATAATGCAAAATTATAAGGATATTGAGTTGCTACTTATACAGGTATGCAAAGAACGACATATACGTACAAAAATTTCGATGCGTCCTTCCTTTGTTTATAGGAACATTTCTTACCATACTTGGACTTGTTTCATAAAGAATCTGTTAAGATTGAAGTTTGTAAAAATATTCTTACAATTTTTAAGCGCAATAGTAGAGACTACACTTCCGATGCTATAGTAACTAATTCACTAATGTATATTGGCAAAATACTGAATGACTATGTAACGTAAGTAACTCTCTTTGTTCAGTAAATTCGTAACAAAAACCTATTATTTTAGTGCATTGACTGTAGAGGATGAAAGACGCCAAATAGCTAACCTGATCAGTAGTTTTATACGGAAGGTTAATTTTGGACATGATTTTGAGCAACAATTAAGTTTTTATGTAGAAGCTCGAGGCGCTTTTCCAAACCTTGACGCTGTTTATTCTACTCTAGTGCATGCAGTCAACAAATTGGCAATTGAAACTAGACAAATCGTTAAAGGACAACACACACGGAAAACTGCTGCTTTTGTTAAAGCCTGTGCTGCTTTCTGCTTCATTACCATACCCAGTATCACAGCAATCAATGTACAAATGGATTTATATTTATTAAGTGGACAAATTGCATTGTTGAATCTCTGTTTAGGACAAGGTTCGTAATTTGTGAATAACAATTTTATCTAATTTCGACCTTTGACTTCTAGCTGATGCTTGTTTTGAAGCTGCTTTACTACTTGTATCTGAACTGCCAAGATCTGTTGAAATTGAAGGCAAAGTTAAGAGCCTAGAAACATATTTGGTGTCATATATGTGCAATATGTTAGCTACTTTAGTAGTTGTGCCCGTAAGATTTTCGTATAATGGTTTTTCCAAAAATAATATTCATATATTATATTATTCTCATAGTTGTTTTTTTTTATAGGATAGTCCAGAACAAGGTGTTCTATACCTTTTTCGCTTACTATTAGATGTACTAAATAAATTTCCATTTGAACTTCAAAGTTCTGGACCGACCACTGTATATTTACATGCATTAGATCTACTTTATGTGCAGAGTTTGGAGGAATTTCCATATCACATTCCAAATGGTAAAAATAAATATATTTGATTAATATTTTGGCTTTTATCAAAATTGATTAAAGTACCTATTATAAGTCATCATTAATTTTCACTGATAATTAATTTTTGCTTTAATTTATTATTTTGTAATTAATTAGGTTTTCAATACGAAACTACTTTCATTAATATTTAAAAACTATCCACCTATGGGTCAAATACTAGCCTATTATTTAGTATGCCTAAAATAAGAAATACATATCATAAACATTGTACATTTTTTTAAAAAACTAAGGGGCTCTAAGGAGCTCACATTCCAAATGGTAAAAATAAATGTATTTGATTAATATTTTGGCTTTTATCAAAATTGATTAAAGTAACTATTATAAGTCATCATTAATTTTCACTGATAATTAATTTTTGCTTTAATTTATTATTTTGTAATTAATTAGGTTTTCAATACGAAACTACTTTCATCAATATTTAAAAACTATCCACCTATGGGTCAAATACTAGCTTATTATTTAGTATGCCTAAATTAAGAAATACATATAATAAACATTGTATATTTTTTTAAAAAACTAAGGGGCTCTGCTCCCAAGGAGCTTCGGTCGCCAAACCCCCTTATATTCGTATGTACGTACAACTTTAAACATTGAGGTTTAATTTTATTTTTTTAGATATAAATCACGTTGTTGTTTATATTTTTCTTGAATTCGCTCCTCTAAAAAATTTCTTCAACACGTTTTTGATTTCTATTGTTTTCAATTGTCTCCAAACTTAAATTTTCGATACGTTTATAAAAATGAATATGATCTTTACGTTTTGCATTTGATTTTAGTCTTTGTAAACGACGACATTCTTTTCCTTTAGCATCAGCTAAATTGAGATATTAGCGACCCATTATTTTCATTATTTTTTTTATTTGTTTCTTTTAATAATAAAAGTAACTCTGCCAATGTACCACGGTACTTTTTTTTAGTAGAGAGAGCGAGAAAACAACAGCACTGCAGTGCGAACATAATGACGTGAAAAAGTATAAAAATACATCAGCACATATTACTAGGATAATATTAATAGGATGATCCTTTTTAATATTTCTCTTTATAAAAACATACACATTAGAATACAAGACACAAAATTGGTTTTGGGTTTCTTGGATTTCTTAGTAAGAACAACTGAGCCTTATATTTCTAGACCAATTTAACTGTAGAGTCGTCTGCTTTATATTCAGTATTTCACATCTCGCTCATTTGATCAGTATAATTTTATTCTCTTAGCAATCTAGACCAAATATTCTACTATATTAATTTTATACAATGCTCTAGACGTGGCAACGTGCTAAAGCGTGTGTCATACCTTAATTACGTAAGAAAGGAACTGCAGATCTTTTATCTGTTCTGTAAGTTAGAAAAAAATTACAACTAACTTTTTTAGGAACAAAAATATGATTTTAATTAATTATTTATTTGTCATTCTGATTTATACTTTTAACATTAAACGTTACGTAAGAAGTTGGTCTAGAAAAAATCTAGCAATCTCTGCGATGTAATAATTGAAACAGATGCATATTTATTAATATAATTTTTCCACATTATTTCCTATTGCAACTAATCTTTTAAGTTAGACTATGTTAATTTTTAATATATTACATATATTATTATATCAAACGACTTCGTACTTTCCAATCGCCCAGGCAATTATTATTTAAGTCGTTCAATAAAACCAAAAAGGTTAAGAGATATTAATCATAAAAACATTGGAGATTACACGATTAGAATAGGCTTAATCATGATTCCTGTAAGAAAGGGATCATAAGCTTTCTAATAATAAAGATAATAATAAAGACAAAATTTTAACTTTATAGGCTTGAAATTGCACTTTGTGTTGAATTACACTGTCTTTAATAAAATTTAAATTAAAATTTAAAAATTTCGTTATTGACTGGTTTTCAAAATATGAACGTAGCTTTTGGACGTAGCTTTGAAGTAAGAAAATTGGTCCAACATTGAAGGAATCTCCCCAATAATCATTCTGACATTGTCTTCCAATCGGTTCAATAGTTTAAGTACTATGTGGTAAAGTTTATGAGAAAAGTCAATTTTTTGAGCTAAAATAATAATCAAAAATTGGCTCAATCGGAATGCAAAAATAGATAATGTAGGATTTTATCCAAATTCTTATTGTTTACATGAAGATTGATAAAAATTTGCGGATAAATTAAGTGAAATTACCCATATGTCAGTTTTACTCTGTTTTGTATTATCTTGGTAAAATTAATTTCAAATATGTCTAAACTTAGTATACTTTGTTAATTCTATTGATAGAGGAAAATTCAAAACAGGATAAAATTGAAATATTAACGCATTCATTCAATTACTTAAGGCTCTAATATTTATACGCACATTTTCTCCAATAATTCCTTGTTTAATTTTTAATTTGGAGTCTTGTGCGATCTAATCGAACATCTTTAACTCGAGATATAATATTCTAATATTCAAAGCTACCTTTAAAAAAAATCACTGATATCTTAAAATCATTGAGATTTTGGAGTTTTGTGGTCCAAACTGTTCAGGAAAAATATAGTAAAAGTACAGACATTTTTTTCATTTGGAAGCTTTTTTAATTGATAACTTTTATCAGTAATAGTTATTATTAAAAAATATGAATATAAAATAACTACAGCTATTCTTTAATTACAGTTATTTCCAATGATGAGCTCTACGGAAATGATCCAAAATTCGTAAATGAAGTGAATATTATGTGCTCGCAAGTTGTGGAATATATATTAAATAACTTAAAGTCGCTCGGTGCTGCTCAGCAATTCCGAACTCAAGCAACATTAGCTTTGGAACTTTTTTTACGTATAATACGCTTTGCTGATCTAAGTAAAGAAAAGACTTTTCAACTTGCTATCAATCTGTGGCTCCTTGCAGTTAAACTGGAAAGCCATTTAGATGCTAAGTTAATAGTAAGTATATTTTGAACCATTTTCCTTTTAGTCTGTGGCTTTATGTGGAGTCATATAAATAATACTCTATCTTTTACAGAGCCGTACTATTAAGAGTGTCGAAGAAACTTACAGACTTATTAAGGATTCCAATGCTCTACGTGCTCAAGGTTTAGCTCAAGTATTAATACGTATTCGCAATAAATAAATAATATGAAATTTCTATTAATATATATAATATACAATATACAATGGAATTCGAGTCATGAGATTTTTTTTCTTTTGAATCCATTTATTTTGTTACAATTTGTCAAGTATGAATAATAATATTTACTACGATCTAAATAAAAGGTGTTTATGGACTTTTTTCAGTGATATATCCATTTAAAATATAAATGTGTGACCTAGATATTCATTTCTAAGACATCTCTCGAGGTTTTTCTTGTCAGCCTTGTAAAAATTTTGGGAGGGGACATTAGGTGTGTAACCATTAGTTTTGGGTGCATATATGTGCGATGAATGAAGTTCTTTATAATTCAAGATATTTCGTCCTTGAAATTAAGAAGAAACTCCTAAATCAAGTATAATAAATTAAGTGCAGATTTGTGTATTCGCAGCTTATTATCAAATGACAGTTTGGTAATAAGTTAATAATGACACTAACAGATTTATGCAATGATAATAATATATACATATATATACAATTAAATTTTTTTTTTGCTGTATAAAAAAATCAATGTAGTCGATATCCAAACGATGGAAAGGAAAATATGCGACTACAGAAGCCGCAGGGTTTTCGGGACTATCTGACAGTAGGTGTTTGTGGGACATGAAAATGTGTTCGATTTTCAGCAGTGAAAACAGGAATTTGATTTGGTGATGATGTTGAAAAACTTGGCAGTTTTGCTTCTTTGTGTTATTAATGAGAAATTTTATCATGTTAATCTGATGTAAGAAACGTATGTGGGAAATTTCGCTGCTAGATCACCCTCTTCCTTTCCAGGTAAGCCTTTATGCCTGATGATCCACATTTCTCTAAGCTTCTACTTGTAGTATAACCCGAATACATATAAATTAATTACTTTTTAAAGCCTACTCTATGGGTTATTTATTTAATGATAGAAACAATATTAGGTCAAATGAATAAAACTTCCCTCAATTACACTATCAGTAAATTAATATTAGATACATAAAACAAAGCATAAGGTGGGCCAGGCTTGAAAAGTTTATGATTGTTTATTTAACGACACATTTATTCTAGTTTGTTCATATAATAAGCAATTTAGAAGACTATAGTAATTGGATTGAAAGAATAAAACCGAGTTTGACTCCCAAATTACAATGAACTATCACCATCTTTTAGGATAGATATTTTTCACCTTATGATATTCTCAATTAGAGCTAATCTATAATGGCACATATAACAACAACAAAGATATACACTACAATCGTTCAAAATTTATAAATATGCAAACTTATAAATACAACTATTAACTAAGATTAGAAACTCCGAGGGCATTAGATAAAATAATAATATAATTTATCAATTACAGTACAAGAAATATACTGAAGATGAGATCATCAGAGCATAGTAGGCATTTGGTAGACTGCGAAGCATATGGCAAAACATTTAAAGTTAGGAGCAATTTGATAAATTTAAGTTTATGAAAAATTTTAATATTTTACTGCCATATGTCAAAAAGGTATCGACAGATACTGTGGTAAGAAAAAGTGAGTACCAATTTAAAACTCTGAAGAAAAGTTTGGTAGAAAACTTAAATCCGAGACTATACATTAAGTCCGCGAATCAATAAAAAGAAAATTTAACTCAAGTAATTGTCAAGAATGACAAGATATCATTAAAAAGTTTCTTATACTGCACACAAAATATATGTGAAATGTGGTTTTTGTAGTATTTAAGTTTCATTATAGAGGTCCAAGACTTAAGTAATAGATAAATATTATTATAGTTTTGATAATATAATATAATAAGTCGCGTAAGGGTATTAAAATACCGAGCCGCCAGAAACACATGGATGAAACTGAAATTCCGGTGTCAACTTTTAAAGATTAATTTGAAATTCTTCTGTGAATGCCAACATAACAAATATACAGGTAGTATTACTATTCCAGTTGAACTTTTTAAACATAACCTCTCCGCTTTTATAGGAAATATAAAAAATTTAAATTATAACTTTTGTATATATAATTGAAAGTACAAATATGCACGGCAATTATCCGTCCTACATCAATGCCTGAAGACTGGATGTTAAAATAGGATGAAATCAATCGTCTAAGCACGTGGAATGAAAGTTCGTCAGTGAAATTGCTTCTGTCAGAGTAAATGCAAGGCAGTATCGAGAATTGATAATGAGATTCTGGTTTTGTTATTAAATAACAGGCTTGGAATCCCAAGTAAAACCGTATGGAATCTTAAACCTCACCTTATAATATGACAAACACCCAAGTCAGTGATGTGAATTTTGTTTTGAAAATCCAAATAAAAAAGTAACGTAGAGCGTCCCCGACTGAGCTAGTTTGATTAGCAAGATACTGTAACGATTAAAGTAGTGCTATAAGATCAACTTTAGCTGTAGCCGAAGAATTACAAATATTTATTTATAAAATTACAAATTTTATGAATATAAAACAAGTTATTTATCTTGCTTAGTAAAGACGATAGATAATACTGTTTTTAACATTTTTGCAACACTCTTGTTTTAAAGAACGCACCCTAATTGTTGGTTAATCTAATTTTTTATAGCTTCAAGCCATAACAACCATTCAACCATAACAAGGTATTTTTGTTCTGGAAGCAGCATTCGGTACTTTTTCTCCACTTAATGGAAGAGAGTTTATTTGTCTCCCTACTGATCCTCCTAAAACAACTGAAGTTAACAAAGCTGAAAACAAATGAATACTGTATAGTTCAACCGATAACAAAAGCACCTTAGAAATTTTGCTGCTTTTGGGCAAATGGTTCATGCATAGACCACATAAACCATAACATTTTAGATAAAGTGATCTAAATCAGCCATCTACATAGAATCAAAAAACAAGATCAATGATAGCCACACAGATGACATCAGTTGTAATCATATCTATGAACAATATAAAGTCCTGTAGAGTTACGGGTAAGACAGGTTTATTATAAAGCAGGTAACTCAGCTTTATCGTAAAATGACCCAGAATAGTTTTTGTTGCATTCAGTATCCGTTAGTACCAGTATCCGCTTTCGTCTTTCTGTCATAAAATAATCGACAGACTATGATTGTTTACATTTTGTCTAAATTGTAGACAAAACCATGTACAGACCAAACTGACTTGGGTGATTACAATCAACAGAGAAACGGAAAATTTTTTATGAATTGAAAACAGCGAAAAACAGAAGTGATTTCCGTATCTTTGTCTAATGTAGTCTAATGTCGATTGGAATATCCATTAGTGTGGCACGATAAAAAAGTTTTCATATAAAATCTGTACATGTTCTTTCATTAACGATATCTTTGATTCTATATGAAGGTGACAAGTTTGCAATATATGGTTGAATAAGTTTGACTTATCAACAGCTTAACATAGTATATCTCAAGAAACAGCTTTTCTTATAAAAACATAACAAAATGATCAATTTTTATAACAGTCTTATTGAAATATAATCTAATCCGTTTCTAATTTTACCTAAATACTGAGAATAATTTCTATTTATCAAATACCCAGTTATCTAATAATTGTATTCATAACAAATAAACTAAAATAAAACTTTCTTGAAATTATTCGGATTAGTTAAAATGATTTCTGTTATTCCGAAACATGTGTCCACTTAATAATAATTTGGCTATATTGCAGTAAGTCTGAGCTGATCAATATACTTTCATGACCATACAAGCTTATTATGCTCCTTATATGGTATACTATTCATAAAAAGTACAATGATCCATCGAAAAATTAATAAATTATTGTTGAAGCGTGATCTAAAGCCCCAATCTGTTTTTTGAAAGTCACTCGCTTAGTTGTTCCTCATGACGAACTGCCATGTTTCTGTACTTGATGTGGGAGATCAATCCGAGACCGCTTTTACAACATTGGAAAAAATTCATCATCTTCGCTATCCCGCATTTATTCCAAATTAAAACATCAATTTTTTTTTTGTTTTTAGGGTTTGTTTATTGGCATTTTTCAACTACCACTTAAAAAAATTGTTTCATTACGTTTTTATATTTTTTATCATTACTTTTATAATAAACCATTTTAGTAGCAATTGGTAATGTATGTCATATTTTATATAATAATTACGCGTTGTTTATATCTACAATTAAATGAATTGCTTTTGCGCATTTGGACTATTTCCAAAGAAACCGATCAGGATTATAGAATTACAGGAAATCTGAAATCTGAAATCTGAAGTCTGACCGATTTTCTCGAAAATAGTTTTTATACAAATTTTCATATGTGACCAACCAACATATCCAGAAAAATAAATTTATGCGTAATTAATTTAAAACGTTTTAAATATCTGAAAATTTCGTAAATGTTCACTACTACCCTCGTTATGAATTGCATTTAATTAACTTATATTTTATTTATTTATAAATTTGCTTAATTATAATCTTTTTTAAATACATATTTTTATTAATTTTATTTAATTCGCAACTTGACTAAATTTTTTACTGTAATTATTAAGCAAATAATGAAATGTTTTTAATTGTGTTATATTTTCAGTGTAAATTGTTATATGTAAATTGGTATCTCATTCTTTATTTTGATTATATAATTACAACTTATAGATATTTTCATTATAAATAATATTGTAAAAATCAAATCTCATATATGATTTAAAAATAAATGCAGAATTGTTTTTTAAAAAATTATATTCAAAATAAATAGATATATGTATTTTTATTGTTTTTTTTCAAAGGATTTTTAAAAGAGAAGCATAAGAAAATATAAAATATATATTGAGAAATCCATATATGGTAGACAACATGCAAAGTTGTACGACTGACGACTTGCTACTTGCTACTTGCTTTTCCCGTTGATAAGGGTAAATGCACATTATTCATAATACAGAACTCACATTCACTTTCTTTTGTTCTTTAAAATAAATAAAATATTAAATTAAGCAAAAAAAAAATATTAAAGTTATTGAAATAAAAATAGATTAACAGCATCCACATTTGCATGCTGAGTTGGTTTTATATGTTTACTTAATTACGTAAATGCATTAATAATTATTTATTTATTTAGTTTTTGATACGTATAGAAATATATCTTGTATATATATATATATATGTATATATATATACTATATATAAATTTATATATACGGTATTTAATAATTTTATAGTCAATTAAAAATTTAAATACATAATACATATTTTATTTATAAAATTCATTGTGTCTGTGCCTTGTGTAACATGTTTCCCAACGAGAGCTTCAAGGTGGAAGAGATATAATAAATAAATAAGGAGCATGAATGATTGACAGAAAGAGTGTTAAAAAAAAGAGAGATATAGAGATATAGAGAGAGAGATAGTAACTAAATATAACAATATGTTTGTGCTAATGAAAAATTAAAATTTTCCAGTTAATAATAGGTTTAAAAATATCTCCAAAAAATTTAAATTTGTATATTATAGAGCAGAAAAATACTGCTTAAAATGGTTCACAAAACTATAGGTAAATATAAAAGGTTTACGTATATATTCACTATGAAGGTACCCTGCTTAATATTTGTTCCACTCTGACACTGAATTTTTCGTTGAAGATTTGAAAACTTAAAACTACTACAAAAACGTTGTTCATTGTTTAAAATCGTTAGCGTCGCTACTGTTGCAATGACTTTTCTATATTGAAAAATTCGCTTAAATTTTTACATATTTATAATGATATAAACTGCTTATATAAACTGTCTACAGAAAAATTCTAATAATAACTAAACAAACCAGAAGATTTGAACCAACTAAGATAAGATAAGTTTAAAGCTTTTAAGCTATGTTTATTTTATTTATAGTTAGAAATAATTATAACAGTTCCTTCCTACTGTTTCAAGACTTCAACTTCTTTGCATATAGCAAATATCATAAATGCATACCATAAATCCATTATTAACTAAATTAGTTCCACTATTTATGTTGCGCCTATTCAAAAATTGCTGAACATATTTTGAAGCATATGCAATATAACAAGTTTGGTGGTGAAATGACAAAATTTGTATTGCCTGAAATACTATATCTGTTATCTGTTTCAGAACAGCATATGCCACGTGCATATAGTCATCATTGCCCGAGCACACTGAATAATATCCACACTTTAATTTAATACTAGCTTTTATAACAGTTATCATACAAATTAATGCAGTTGTTGGAATGAAATTTCTAATTGGTTTAGAGTTGTTTGTTGGACAGCTGATGCAATCAATATATGCTACATAAGTCTTTTCTTTATTTTAATCTTTTCAGTTTATGTTATTTTTTACCTACACACACAGAATGCTTCATTTCACCAAAGCTAAACATCAAAACCATCAACCCTGTGTACTCAACTCAACTCACTCAGCTTCTTAATAAGGCATAAGGAAAAGATTTTGTTAAATTTTTAACGATTTTTTCAATTTCATCAAAGATTTATTTTCACCAAGAAATAAAATTCACGTTAAGTGAAGAGATGCAATCATCGGCAGCTTTCACTGCACGTTGCTTGATAAAACAAAATTATAATCCACAACCCCTAATTGCGTTCCACACTTCTTTACCACGTTTAGTTTAAAGTTTATTACATTGCAGCTATGCATAAAAACGCCTCGAATAGTTTTTATAAAAAAAATTTTATATATATTTTTTTTTTTGTAAATTTTATTTAAGATGAATTGTATTTTAGTTAAGTTTTGAGTTCTTATCGGTTAATGATGTTGTGTCTGTTTTTACTTGTATCTTTGTATCTATGTAAGAGTGTATTTTATGATTTATTGATTCTATAGTCGAACAAATTAAACATTTTTATTTAGCCAAACACAAACACAAACACTGTTATTTGCAAACGAAATTTGCTTTTACTTTTTTTTTTTGAAAAATTTTTTTAAAATATAAAATTTTGTTTAGTAATAAAAATAATACAATTTGTTTTTAACGTTTATATTTTATAAGAAGCATGTATAAAACAAATTATGTTTGTTATTGTATTCTTTTAAAACTTAAATAAATTGCAAAGACCATACAAACTTAAAAAAAAACTGTTCAAAAATATACATTTCAATAAAAAAAATAAGAATACATTACGTAACGTAGAGTAAGAGTAAAATGCATTACAAAAGGAATTAAATTATATAAAAATTCACTTTTATTTATCAATAATAGTTTGTGGAATTACTTATTTATGAGTATGCATGTAAGAATGTATGTATATTTTTTTGTTCCACATTTTCATCAGTTAATCAGTTAATCTGTTAATCAGTTATTATTGCAGTATTTAATTTAATATATTATGAAAATTTGAAAAATTACAAGAGAATAGTAAGTAAATTAACGGTAGACTTCTTTGCTTCTTAGAAATTAAGCCGTATATAATTTAATATATTATTTAAATATGTGTGGATTATTTTAATACAAATTAAAGACAAAACAATACACTTACAATTAAGCATTCTTATATTTCTTACGTTTTTTTCCTAAATTAATGTTCGCTTTCTTTAAGACTTACTTTTATATTATTTGCTGTTGATTTTTAATTTAATTCATAAATTCTTAAAATTACATATATTCATCTGCTGTTTTGTGTGTTTTTGTAATGCTTTAATGCTTTTTATTTGAATTTAACCATTTTAATTATAATTTATGTTTATGCAAAAAAGTTTACATATTGAAAAAGAAATTTGATGTTTTTTAAAATTGAAAAATTTTGTTTTTTAACTGTTGATTTTTAAGTGCTACTGAATTATAAGGTAAGGATAAAGGATTTAGAATTAAGTAGGGTGGTGGTGGGGCTTACTTAAATTACGACACATCCTGATCTTCAACATCTTGAATTTCCTGCTTAACTTCACCATCGCCTAAAATTAAAAAAAATTCAAAATGACACATTATAGTTTACTGTTGTTGAATTATATTTATTGTCAAATAAAAAAAACCCAAAGTCTGAAAATAATGGACTACACTAAAAAGAAAACAATTACAACAGATAAAAAGAAAATATGTATAAAAGCAAACAAAATGCATATGTAATAGGCCAATTATTATGTTAATAGATATTTTATAGAGACAATAGATACGAATATAAGCATAACCTAACAGCAATTTTATATATAATAAACTAATTTAAATAACATAAGTAAAAAGTTATGTTAGCGGATACTTTATAGATATGACACTTTATGGATAATAATAAAAGTTAAGAAAGTATTATTGTTAGCATAATTATGAAAATACAGAAACTTCACATATACATATTAGATGAATTTACTTGTTATCAGTAAACAGATATGTTATGGACACAAATGTAATACATATATTATAATTATTAAAGTAAATAAGCACATATTTTTTATAAGACATTAATTTTTATATTATCAGTTGATAAATATATTAACAGATGTTATGGATACGATAGATAGAAATGTTACCATAATTGTGAAAGTATAAAAACTTCACATATTATATAAAAGTATATGTTATACAAATATAAATATAATAAAATATTAGCATAATCATGAATATAAACATACTATGCATGTAATATATTGAGAGTTAATTGTTAGGTGCTATGCTATCCATCCATACGAATATAAGGATAAGGAAAATCAAGATATGCAGTTTCTTGATTTTGATTATTATATATGTTATCAGTTAACAAATTCAGTTAATAGAACGTTTATTATCAGCAATGTATTGATTATATGATAATAAACGACTGCATATTTACATAACAAATTTAAGAAGAAAAAATTATATAGTTATTTTGACTATAGTTCAGTTCGACTTAAGACATATATGGTACAAAATTTGATGCATTATTTTTGGTGAATGTAAACAAAATGTAAAATATTACTGTCAAAAGCTCCTGCGTAATTAAAGTTGGACCGTACAATAAAAAGTAATCAATATTACGTAAAAAAAAAAAAAAAAATAAGATGAAATCCTCATGGGATCTAATGAAAGATTAAACACTTTGCGAGCTGTAATATCCCAGTAAAAGACTTACGAACCTACAGTAACAACATTTATGCAATCATTAAAAAGCTATTTTTAAGATATTTTTATTTAAAATGTCATTTTAATATTGATATTAAAATGACATATATGTTATATAAAATAATTGAACAGTAGTGAGTTACCACAACCTATTAAAAAAATAGTGTTTTCTTTAGATTTGACTTTGAGGCCATGCGCAAGTTCGAGTAAATTGATGGTAAATTGAAGGAAGTAGTAAATTATTTCGGTATAAATTATTGCGAATTTTGATATTTACCAGAATTTCGAGTAGGGTAAATTAGATAACAATTAGGTAAATTAGGAATTACCATTGTGAAAATTTTATAAGCTGTTTTTAAAAAATAAATTTAAAAACTTTTAACCAAAAATAAATAAATAAATATTTACATAAGTGTAGTGCAAAAAATCCCTAGGAAATTTCAAATTACTTTACCTCAATTTACTCAGACTCGCACACGGCCTTAATTACGTTTAAATTAAAATTACAATAGGAAATAATAAACACAAGTTAAGCTCAACGTTAGGTAAGTTGATTACCTAAATCTGCGATTTCAAATTTAGCATGAGTTTAAAGTTTGGTACTTGCAGTTAAAAAAATAACGAAAAGTTAAATTTAAGAAATATTTTCAAATAATATTATTATTCTATTTATTTATTATAAATAAATACCATGGATGAGAGGTATTTAACACTATTCGTAAAAGCTTTATGGTCAGCCAAAAATTAAAAGGTAATTAAAAAGCTTGAAATTTTTGAAAACCTCTTCATGATAATTAAAAATAAAGCTGAAAATAAAATTAATAAGTAATTCAGAATAAAATTCGGTTGTATTTTCAACTATGCAAAACTTTTGTAAAAAATGTATCTCATCATATTTGATTTTAAATTAAATTTAAATAATTATTTTTAAAATTGGAATATAAAATAAATATGAAACTAAAAATCATAAACACTTCATATAATTAAACAATTATGTGTTGTTTACGACGATTTCAATAATATATACAATAATATATATTTCTACGAAATCAGATTTTGTGCAGATATAAAAAAAATTTAAATATCGAACTTTTTTATTAAAAAAGTTTTTTAATATATAAAGATATTTTAATATATATATATTATTAAAAATAATAAATATAAAGAAAAAAGTTAAAATTTGATAATTTTTAAATAAACTAGAAAATTTTCCCGAAGGAATATTGTGTGCTAAAGATTTTATATATCAATTGTAAAAAACTAAGTTTTTTTACCAAAAATTACTGCATCAATTCGATAACATATATAATATTTGTATTAATAATGTTATAAAGATTAAAATGCGTTTAATGAAATGTAACTAAAGGCTTTTAATTTTCAAATATTTTAATTTTTAAAAATTTAATCACTTACCATCTGCTTGCATATCAGATGTCCATAGCGTAAGGTTGTCCCGCAGCAGCTGCATAATAAGTGTTGAGTCTTTGTAGCTTTCCTCACTCAAAGTGTCCAGTTCAGCAATAGCATCATCGAATGCTGCCTTTGCCAAACGGCAAGCGCGGTCTGGTGAGTTCAGAATTTCATAGTAAAACACCTGTAATAAAAAGTCAACACCAAATAAATAAAAACTGAAATTAATTTCCATATTAACTTAATAAATGTATATATATACTTACGGAGAAGTTTAGTGCCAAGCCCAAACGAATTGGATGTGTTGGGGGTAGATCACTCATTGCAATATCACTGGCTGCCTTATAGGCAATTAAAGAATTTTCTGCAGCATCTTTGCGATCAGAACCAGTTGCGAATTCAGCCAAATAACGATGATAATCACCCTTCATTTTATAATAAAATACCTTACTTTCACCAGTGGTAGCACATGGAATTAAATGCTTTTCCAACACATTCAATATGTCAGAACAAATATCGCGTAATTCCTTTTCAACTTGACCGCGATAGGTTTTGATCATTTCAAGCTTCTCTTCAGCGCCCTTATTTTCTTCCTTTTGCTCAATTGAAGTAATAATACGCCACGAAGCACGACGTGCGCCAATAACATTCTTGTAAGCAACGGATAGAAGGTTACGCTCCTCAACTGTCAGCTCAACATCCATGGAAGCGACCTTCTTCATGGCTTCAACCATTTCTGTAAGGAAAAAAAACAAAATATTACATTTTTTTATATATTTCAAAATAATAAAGTAAATTTATTACTGAATAAACATAATAATACTATTTCCTTAAGCTAATGTTGAGTCACTGTTAACACAACCGTAATCTCTGTTTTCTATTTTATTTAACAATTAAACTATGGTATTAAAAACATAATAAATTAAGAGCTTTGAGTGCCACCTGACTAAAAATTAGGAACATGTAACAATAGACATTTTAAACATTTAGTTATCTCTTTAATTGGACAGGTCTGTCCAATTGTTACTATATATATAGTAACCATATATATATATAATAATAGTATTTTTATCTATATATATAATTTATATATAGCTAAAATTGTGTGTTGTTTTGGACTTTGTTAAGAATTTTCAATTTTTTAATCTTCTATTATAAATACAAACAATACTCGATTAAAAGCAATAATTAGTTACATTAATTTTTCCCAAATTATTACTTTTATTTACAATCTCTCTTATCCTCATCTCCCAATAGAGCATAGGGTTATTTATTCACGATAATAATAACTTAAAAAAACCATTTAAAAACGCTGAGATCGATACACTGCTAACGTAAAAGTAATAAGAGAGATCATTTCACAAAATTTTTAAAAATAATCTCTACTTATGCTTACTTTTGGCTGATTAATATATAGCTCTATATTTCTATTTACTTGTACATTATTTGAAACTGAAAAATTTTTAAATTTTTCACTTAGAATACAAAACCATTTTCACTAACTTTTTCACTTCTCTCTATATTGTCGTTATTATAATCCGTTGGGACCTGCTTGTGAAGTCGAATGGTCATCGCTGGAAGCAAGTGGCTCCGGAACATTCTTGAAAACACATTCCTCTATCGTATTATTTAACTATGGTAGCTTTTTTTTTGTAACTTTTAATGGCGGTATACATCGTTCATTTCTTTTTATTGTAGGAAACTATTATATCTAGAAAGTACTTTTTTTTTATGTTTGCAAACAATGCACAAAACTGTTATTAATCAAAGGCTAAAACACTTTTAAGAGAATACTGTGTTTGGTAGTTTAATTATATTTCACAAAAGCAACACATTATTTGTTCTTGCCATCTCTTATCAACTACTTAAATCTATCACAAACAATTTATATAAAGTGTGATTTCTTATCTAACGAGAAGTAACAAGCACAACCACATAAATTTTAAATCATTACAAAAAATCCAGTATTAAGTATTAAAAATATTGGGATTCTAAACGTACAAATATTTATTTCAGATCATTTTCTCCTATTTAAGTAACCCAAAGTAAATGTTGAGAGACCACTTTATCTATAAGTGTCAATTCAATTATGGGTCTGGTCTTGACCATTTATGTTACTTACAAAAGATTTTAACAAAAACAAATATAACAACTGACAAATAATGAAGTAACCCATATACCCGAAAATAACATTGATGAGGACTACACTTATCTTATTATTAGATAACATATAGACGGACGAAAGATCTTTTGGGTTTTAGCATACCTGAATTACTGAAGCACTAACTGATTCTATGCGCCGATACTTCAACGTTGGCATATTCCAATAAGCGAACTATGCCATGATAAAGTGGATCCTATTAATCTCTATGATTTTGCCCAGAAGTATAAATAAAATTGCTTTAATATCTAGAAGACCTCTTGTTTATTGCTCTGACAGAGATAACAAAAGTTAGTTTATCGAATCTCTTAAACAACAAATGGTTTAACAAGGAGTTTTGAGCCAGAAATAATTCTTATGACTAAAAAATATTGAATAATGGACATGAAGAATGTAGCTTACGTACAGAAAAAAATAAATAGAAACATTTAGGTTACGTTATAATGCCAATTCAAAATATTTACTTATGCTTAATGGTCCATTTAGAACCTTTAGGTGTTGTAGCTGATTCAGTGGCGTAACTACAGGGAAGCGACTGGAAGCAACGTTTTCGGGCCCCCGAATTTAGGGGGATCCATTATAAATTTATGTATTCATTATATTTATTTTTAATTAATTCTCAAAAGTTGGACGAAACGTTTTTTGTTGGAATAAAATAAATTTTGGTTTTTGAACAAGGTTGCATTTGTGATTTCAAGAAAATCTTTACAATGTCTGTGTTGCCATTTAAGTGGAGCCAAGAAAAAAAAGAACAAAATGAACGAGAAGAAACATTAAATAAATTTTCAAAACTAGACAATTTTCTAAAAATAAATTAAAACAAAAACGATTTAGATGATGTATTTGCTAATTGTGATACACAGCATAAATTGATACATTGTTCAAATACTGAAACAATATGCAAATCAACTGATATTGGCACTATATTAATGTCAAAATTACTGATGATATTAAACGCTTATTAATTAATAATTCTTCCGACCACCAGAGATTGCAAGGGACATTTCCGAAGGATGCTATTCAAGAAAATAGAAGTTTCAATGCTTCATACTATAATTTAAAAAGAAAATATGGAACACTGCCACGACTTTGGTTATACTATTTAAAGTTACTGGATTCAGTATATTGTAAGCCGTGCTGGTTAATTTCTAATCAAAGAAATCAATGGTGTTCTGGATTTCGGGATTGGAAAAATTTGTCAGGAAAAATAAAAATTCATACATCTATAAGAATTAGTAGATTAATTTTAATCAAATCAAATGGTGAACAGAGTCTGCCCCCAAAAAGTATGTGAGTAAAGTTTCATTCGAAGAGTTCAAAAGCTGAGAGAGTAGTTTGAACTGAAAAAGTATATATATGCTGATATATACTTTATGGCATTTTCGACGTGTCCTTTAATGCGTTACGAAAATCCTGACAAGTCTTATATACCCTTTTTACACTTTTTCGTGTAAAGGTATAAAAAGTAGGAGGCCCCAGTTAGAATTTGCTTATGGGCCTAAAAAATGTAGTTACGCCACTGAGCTGATTTAAGATCCTACACAAAGAGAGTCCTGAGCTTTTTTAATCTTAACTGAACATGTACTTCATATGATAAAACAGGTATGAAAGCACTTCCCGCAGTTACGGCCAGATTTGCAATCAAAAGTAAAAGTTTCAATTAACCCAATGATTGTAATCGAATTGACATATAAACAATTTGTTAGCAATCACTTCTACTATTTTTACTATGACTTGTGTATGTAAATTAAATTAATTATATTAATTAAGAGGATGTCTTTTACAACGCCTCTAGTTAATACAATAATGCTTTGATATTAATAATATGTCATTCTTAATAACCCGTTATAATTTTAATCAGTTGGTTTGCTTTTAGTAAGCAAGTAAATTATCTTTTATCTGTTAAGATATTCGCAAGTATTTGAAGTTTCTTTTTTGTCTAAACATGGAAGTATTTTTTTTCTAGTTTAAAATAAGGCATGTTCTCATATGTGCCGAAAATTGAAAAAAAATTGTCTATCAATCGCATACAAACACAATAAACACAAATAAACTAATCTGATAAAAGTATGATGCAAGACCTACTAAATTTTTTTTTCTTTGTATATAATACTTAAGGAAAAGTAACACTTTAAGAATTTGTTATATAAAATTCGAATGGGCATGAATCACTTAACAAGGAAACGCAAATTTCAATGCGCATACATCATAAGTAAATATGCACAAGCACGTATACTCAACTTTGTATGTACAAACGCTGAGTCGAGCTAATATATGTAATGAATGTATCTGCGTACTTATAGATATATTCACAATGAATGTGCAATCTGATAAGAGAACCTACCTACCTAGCTACCTACCGATAGCGCAAATAGTATAATTCAAAGCGAACTAAATAAATACAGCGAAAATAATAATGCAGGAATTAATGTGAAAAAATAATATCGAAATTTATTTGAACACTGGAAGGCAAATTAAGTTTTTTTGCGTAAATGAAAATCTTATTCCTCCAGAGCACACAAAAAAAATTTAACAAATTGATAAATTAATAAATTAATAAAAAAAAAATAAATAACATTAATAAGTGAATAAATGGAAACCAAACTAAGTCGCTAGTCAGATACTTTAATAAAAATACATATATGCACTACTATCGCGAGAAGGTGTTGCGGGTGGAAATTGGGAATGTACATTAATTTGGCAGTTAGTAAGTAGAAGTCATCAACTATTAATTTTGTATTTAATGTGAGTGGGGGCGTAAATACAATTTAAATAAACTTTCAAAGGCCGCCTCGTGTTTAGTTACAACGAATCAATTTTATTTACTCTTATTTTAATTTACTTGAGTAAAAATTGCGTGAGTCATTGTATTTCTGACCATGATTTCTTTTTCAAATAGATTTCATTAATTACTTAAGTATTTTCATGTTGTTGCGCTCTTGCTTGCGCTATAGTTGAGTTCAGTGCAATTAAACTCAATGAAAATACTAAAAGACTAACTGACTATTAGAAACTAAATGACTGAGTGACGGACTGACTGGATGGATAACTTTGCTAACTGATAGACTGACTGACTCTGCGCGTATGTATCCATTAATTGCGAAATTCTGTTTTTGGTGGAATGTGCGAAATAGTAAAATTTTTTTAAATTTAATTACTTTCTATATTTTTGGCATTATTTGTATGTACAAGAACTTAAAGAAAAATAAGACAACAGACAGATGATAATATACAAAGTGAAATTAAATTAGTGTAATGGATATATTTATTTATCAAATCATTATTACCAATAGATTTTAGAACCCATGGTACTATTTTCAATTTATATTACATAAATATATATAAATAAAAATTGACTTCTAAATAATAATTGAAAGCTATTAAATAAATATTAATATTCCAAACAAAAGTTTTGCAACACAAGCATCATAATAACATGTCGGGATGTTATGATTAACACTGATATATTATGTGATAAACAATGACTATTAATCAATATGAATATTTAAGCCTATATAGTCTATATATATAGTCTAAATTAATCATGGTAAAAATATGGTAATGATAATGGTAATGGAGATTCCCTAAAGATGACTATCGAAAATAGTCTAAATATCAGAATAATATTTTTAATAATATATAAATTGTTTAAATATAAATAGTTAATTATAGTTTTTATTTTATATTTAAATTGACCAATTAGTTCGCTCAAATAAATTATATAATATTTTTGGTCATAAAAAAGAATCATATATATATAATGGCAAGTAATAGCAATTAGGAGCTTACAGTACCTACAAAAACATAAGATGAAAACTATCTTTCAAAATTCAAAGAAATTTTAAGATGAAAGATAAGCATAAACCAAGTAAGGTTTTACTATATTGAATAAATAGGTTTATAAAATGCTGTGAAAAATATTGGGTTCAGTTAGGTGAAAAAGGCAATTATAATTTAGTAAATCTTTTTTATAGCAAATACATTAGAGAGTTAAGTCCGTTAAAAATTATATAAAATACATTAACAGACAAAATAATAACAAATATCTTGCATTTTCACTACAAAGGAAAAAAGGACAAATTTTTCTAAGCAAAAAAATCATTTAAAGCACATGCATAATAAAAATTTTTTTTTTCTTCTTTTCTTGAATCCATAGACGACATTGACGAGAGCGAACGCTTTTGAGCGACCTCAAACAAAATACCTATAGAAATAAATATATATGTAACACAACGAAGCATCAATACAACATCAAGGGGTGTTATTAGGTGTTCCAGTAATTTGTTTGAAAAATGATTACCATATTTGCATTGAATTTATAATTTTTGTTACAACACTATTTCCATTTTAACAGTTGAAACCATAAAAACAGCAAGAACAATAATAAAAAACTTATTTGTAATAAAGAAAAAAACAAAAATATTCTACCTTTAAGAATTATGAAAAAAATTATTTAAATATAGTTAAAATTTTTCATAATATATCATTGAATAAAACGCATTGGCAACTCTTATGCCGGCACAAAGTAGACAGCGCTGCAACGCATTATCATCAACATGGGCAACCAAATTATAAATGCCATTCACCTGCATGAGTGCGAAAAGGCCAATAGCGCGCTCAACAACTGTAGCTAAAACAAGAAGAAAAACATGTGATACAAACATCAAGAATTATAGAACGTCGTCGTTGACAATGACAACGGACGGAAACAAATAAAGTAAAAGGCACAAAAAAATTTTGAGCGAGTCTGTATGTGGTTGAGAGCGTTTATTGCTGCTCTATATAAAGGAGATTGTGAGACAAGAAGTGCATATTTGAAAAAATTAAATATTCGTCCTTGTCCAGCCGAAGCATGACGACATGTGATTAAAGTATTAATATATATTTTAAATATCATTAATACAATTATTTTATTTATTTAAATTAAAATATAAAAGCCAATTTTATATAAAAGTGTATTTGAACACTTCATATTATCTATTCAAGAAGAAAGTGATTCTTGGTAAAGGGTGGTGTTGTTTCCATGGTGTGATGAGTAACCATGAAAAAACAAGATTTTTCTTAGAGTTGCCAGCTTATGCATTTACATAGATATTACATTATTACTACTGTACCAGTTGAACCTACTCTAAGTGATATCATATGGGTATATACAAAAATTTATAAAGTAATCTATTTTGAATAATTGTATGTTACTATATTGTATATACACCTGTAGAAGTGAACATAGGTTTTTCTTAATCCAAAATAATTACAAAACAACAAATATACATGAATGAATTGCTTTTAATAATTAATTTATGTACTAGAATTAAACAATGCCATGGACTACCAAAATTTAAATCAAAATAAAAAAATCTACTCGCGTTATAATGTTCAACTGACTTTAATAGATTAGTTAACGAATAACTTTTTCTAAACCACTGTTATCAATTATATTTACTTATATATAAACTAAAGAATCCTACATAAACTCTTTTAATCACTACAGTTGGTAACTCTAGTGGTTAGTTGGTTTGTAGCGGCGCAATTCAATCGATCCATTCATTGATTTTTCGCGCTAGCAACCAAAAAGAAAAATTTTTATGAAATGTGCAAAAACGTAGCTAGTGTAACTGCTTGCGCCGAGGGAAAATGCATGTAGAGACCATGTTTTAAGTGGGATACCTATATGGCCCATCGAAAAATTTTAAATAAAATGCCTCCCGCCCTGCAAGCGGTTAAATTATACAAACATTTTTGCATCTGCATATTTTATGACACATTTTAAAAGAAAAAAAATATATATATATTTCTTAAAATTTCATGTATAATCTTAAGAATATGAAATTAACCAACACCCCTTCAGACTTGATGTACATAAACCTAATTTCATTGCATGTTTTATTTGATTTAATTCTGGTACTATTCCACAAATTAATTTTTTTGTTAAAATTCCTGGGAAAAATTACCGGCATACACATTGATTTAACTGTCACATATAAATTATTTTTTCGCACAAATTTGGAAATTTTTTTTAGTCATTGTTGACGCAAATCGTTAAATTGACGCTGCATGGCTCTCAGCAATTCCCTCCCGTCCCACCACATTTAACATAGCTTCTACAATGTTCCATAACCCCACATAAAATCCTGGTATTTGCTATTACGAATACCTATAAAAAATTTATATGCACTTACCATCATAACGCTCAGCCTGTTCAGCCAATTTGGCCTTGTAAACATTATTTTCACGTTCAGACATTTTGTTAATGTTTTTTAAATTATAAATTCACAAAATATAACTCTCTTTTATTATATTTAACTTTCCCGGCTTGTTGATGTAGCTCCACCGATGCGTTCTTTTCGTTGTCGTCTTCGTAACTAAACTTTTTTAGTTTTCTCTACTTCTTATTTCTCGGCAAACGTTTTTTATGTATAATCCCTTTTCGAGCGTATGTTAATATCTAATTATTTATGAGAAGAAAAATTTTTGTTCTTATTAACAAAATTTTTTTTTTAATGTATTTTCATATATTTAATTCAAATTTTAAATGAAATTATTTCTTACAAACACTAAATTTTAATTTAAAAATTAGATATGAGCTCGCAGCCGTCGCCTACACAAGAATTAGAATAGTCACACGAAGTAATGAAGCTGCTTTTAACCGTCACACTAGTTTTTTGCGACAATCAATATGGCCGCACCTTTTCAACTATGTACTTATATCTCTTTCTGTATCACAATAGACACCTTTAATCGTTTGAGTTTACTATTGTTTTCTTTTTCTAAAAAATTATGTGTATCTTTGTGGTGGCGTAATGCAAGGCTGCCATACAAAATAAATTAAATTTTTCTAATATATGTTTCTGCTGCTACACACACAGCAAGTTATTTGATACCAATTATTGTTCTCGTCCAATTGTCAATATATAATCTGACATTACAGTATCAAAATATATCAAAAATTCATCAATAACTCAAACAATACACATGTTTCGTTATAATATTAGAAACGTCAAAAACTAAAAATTCACATATTTTTTTGTATTCATATTGTAATGTCAACAAAATCAATATCTTATCGAATTTTTGATTCAATACGAATATTTTAAAAATTTTCGTTTTTACTTTGGTTTACAAATTTTAATAAATTTGCAATTATGTAAATATGGCTATTATTGTATTGCATATTTAACCAGACAGAATACCGAAATAAACATAAGAAACAAGATCCTCGCAAAAATATATAACACATAACAAATATATAAGAGTACAATATTTTATAAAAATATCTACATATGAAACGTAATTTTACTTGAGGAAATCTTAATCTAAACTTAACACTGCTTATTTTTTTAGTTAAGCAAATAAAAATGCTAAATGTCACAACGAACTATTGAGAATAATGAATCTAATTTTAATTTGATTTTCTGTAAATCAAAATACTATTGTCAGAAAAGACTATGGTTAGGTTAGGTTGGAGAATCGGCATTTAGCACCAAAGTCCACTTGAGTTTTGACATAAATAAAAAAGTTCCGAAATATTCTATATTTGTTTTATTTATTTATTGGTTGAAATAAATTTGTTGATTATTTCCGCAAAGGTAACAACAAGGACATATATTTTATGATTGCAAAACAATTTGCAATATATACTATGTAACTTTAAAAATATTTAAGGGGCCATTTCGATTGCAAAATAAAAACAAAATTTTTATGTTAGATTACGTCATATTTCATATATTTATTTACATATATATGCAGTCAAACTCAAACTAAAAAGAGTGCAACAGGGTTTTAGAGAAAAAATTACATACAATTCTGCTTCTATAGCTCGAACTTCTATAACTCAAATTTCCTCATAACTCGAATAAAGATATAATCACGTGCCAATTAGAATATGTGAAAGTGCATTTTATAAGTCGAATTATGTTTTAAGTATGAATCCATTTTGGTGTTTTCCGTTTTTCCAAATCAATGAAATTGTTTACAGGTCTTCCAAGAATAAAGTAGAAGACTCATTCAAAATATTGATGTTTTATTTGCAAACGAATGTTACTACAACTAATGATCACTATAAGGCTGTGAATAAATTGAAATCTCTTTTTACTGAAAGTAACAAAAAATCTCAAACCATAATTTCTGAATACTCCATTATAACTTCTGCACTGTGTTTGATTTCAAATAAATAAATATCTTAATATGTAATTGTAGTTTCTTTCAAAAATAAAAATAAGTTAAAAAACTCTCTAACTCGAACCTTTTCTTTTCAAAATGGTAGTTCGAGTTATGGAAGTTTGACTGTTTATATATATACATATATAACAGGGAAACATATACAAATACTTGGATGTGTTCAGTATACCGTGTATTTTGGTACCCATTTACATTTTGCACATCACTAGAGCAGAATTGCAGTAACATATTTTGCCAACAGCACGTTCAATACAAATGTAAACAAATTTCGAAATTTATTTGCAAATAAAAATAATGGAATTTATTTTATAGAAATGGTGCCAAATATAAATACAGGTGGATGGATACACAGTTTTACGGTTACTGATACTCAAACCCATAAGAATGGTTACACTATTTACAAGATCACTTCTATAGTAAATTTATATATATATGTATATGTAATTACAAATATTTAGTTGTTTCCAACTTTAAAGGTATTCCCGCGTTCAGTTCCACAAGCTTTAACATGTCTTACCATATGGAAACGGTTTCATGACATAAAACGTTTACATAGAGAACTATCAAGGCGGCATAAGGGTCTTAATCTGCACGGAGAATTACCGGAGCCAACAGATTGCAGTTATTTTAAACGTTTTAACGCTGATGTTATACAACGCCGTAAGGAATACATATTGGAGTTGCTAGATTTTGCAGCACAACATCCAGCTTTATACAAATGTCATGCGTTCGCAAATTTCTTCAGCGACGCGCAGGCACATCAAACACCTTCTGTCTCACCGTTCCATCAAATCAATTTCAAACAGTATAAAGGCGATAATTGCGAAGAAGGTGCTATAGCACAAATATGTGATAAACTTGATATTTTGTATGATCCGTTTAACAATGGTTTAGCCCTACTTGATCCTGAGCGTGATATCAAAGAAAAAAATGATACAATTTTTTCTGACACTATTGACGGGATAGAAACAGTTAATTCAGAACATTATAAATCTGCTAATTTAGATAATGAAATTAAATCTAAGGATTACACACGTTTTTTGACGCCTATGGCGTCAATAGAAAGCGATGACAGTGACTACATATATGAAGCAGCCTTAGAATTTAGTAATGCAGTTCAAGCTGAAGTGAATTTAGATTATTTAAATGCACATAGCCTTTATAAGCGTGGAGTAGAATTACTGCTTTGCGGGTCTAAAGGTAATAATTGAGTTTTTTTATTGTGATATATAATGAATGTTCTTTATAGATGACAGCAATGAAGATAGAAAATATATAGCAAAAGCTAAAATTTCAAAGTATTTAGCACGTGCGGATGATATATACGACAAATTTTTAAAAGACAATATAATGGAGCAAAATTTAGTTATCAAAACACAACAACAACTATCAATCGATGTTACTAAAGCAACAGATGACTCTGTGATATATTTAGAGCGTCCATGGAACCACTTGTCCAAATATAAAGTGATACAAATATTAGGTGGCAAAGTGATGCAAGTGCAAAGTATAACCGAACCTCAACGTCCAATGTACGTTATGAAAGGCATTGAAAAACCATCAAGTATTTCAAGTAAACAAACAATTTTTTTACCCCAAAACGTGCCGTATATGGTTGATCTGATAGTATTTTTTCAATCTGAGCAAAAAATATTTTTATTACTTTCTCAGGCAACAGGTGGACGTTTGTATGAATATATAAAAAAATATAATACAAATACAAATAGAAGTAGGAATTTAGCTGGTTTATTTAGCGAAGCCGATGAATTTGAAACGGATGTTGCTAGTAATTTCAGTACACAAGACTCTGGATTTGTTGATCAAGTTGTGGAAACAGATTGTGCTGCATCCATTAAGGACGGACTGGAAGAAACACAACGCAGCAAGGAATATGTGGAGGAAGTATGTTCGAACACTCCAAGTCATTGTGATACAGATGTGAAAACAGATTGTATCGTATCAAATATGAAGGAATTAGAAGAAGCACAATGTAACAAACCTGGTACAGAACAAATAGTTTCAACTCATAGTGAGATAATTATGGAAACAGCTTGTAGTGCAGCCATTGAGGAGGGATTGAAAGAAACACAATGCAATAAAGTTTCTAGTTATTGTGGGACAGTAAAAAAAGTTCAGGAGTCTGTAACTGGTGCAGATTCAAATTCATCAAAAATCGAAATAAAAGATACAAGACTACCGGAAGCTAGCATAAAACAATGGGCACGTGAACTTGCTGTTGCAATACAAAGTTTACATGAAAATGGAATTATTTTAAGGTATGGAAAATGTTGACAATCTTACACAAACTATGGCTTTATGGTTTTGATTTTTCATTTATAGCGATTTGCATATGAAAAACCTATTGCTTGGTTCCAAAGGACAACTACAACTAAGTTATTTTTACCAAAATGAAGGATTGGAAGCTAGTAATAATGTTCAAAAAGCGCTTAGCATGGAAGCTATTGAAGGTCATTATGTTGCACCTGAGATATCTTTAACATTCAAATCAGATTGGTGGAGTTATGGCGTACTTTTATATCAGTTACTACTTGGTGTGGTAAGTTTCAAATCAAAGTTAAATCCATTTCAAAATAAACTGCTTTTTTATATGTAGCCATTTAAAGCAATGCACCCAGGTAATATAGAGCTATATTATTTTGTACAATATCCTCATGGTATTGATTTATCGGAGCATGCAAAAGACTTATTAAATAAATTGCTACAAAGAAATCCTGAAGATCGCTATGATTATCAACAAATACAAGTACACTCATTTTTTAATGGTACCAATTGGGAAGAGGTGAAAATAAATGGTTTAAATAATCACAGTACAATGAAAAGAGATACTTAACATTTTGATGGTATAGTATAATGATTAATTTTCGGTTACTATTTTAAAATGTTGTCGTTATTATTATTTTTATATTTATTGTTTATTTTTTTGTTTTGCTGAACTTTAATTTTATTTATTGTCAGACAAACCCTATTATTTTGGAATCTCAATTTTTATATGCATTTTAAGAAATAATATATTGTGTTGTGTGAATAATTTTTTTTATAAAAAATTTAATGACAACTACGCTACAAATATTTAAAATGTTAGCTAAGCTTAAAATTTTAATATAATATTAATTTTTAATATATTTTGTAATATTGTATTCTTATTCGTAATTTGATTTAATAATTTTCTTATAAAGACTTTAAAATAGTAAAATGTATGTTTCGCAGTTTGTATTTAATTGTATGGAAAATAGGCACGATTTCGATTTCTAAGACACACTCTTTTGGTAATGGATTTTTAGTACAGTCGGCTATTTTTTTGAGAAGTTTTTTAATTACGCTTGACTGCAATACATATTAGTTTTTGAGATATTGCATTTTAAAGTTGGTAATTTTACATGGAAACTACCAACAATTGACGCGTCTAGTTTTTTGTATTTATTTGTGTAATCAATGTAAAAATTGCATATACCTGTTAATGATAGATGGGATGCATAGTATTTTATTAGTGCAATCAACAAAAAAAGTTTGCAAATTTAAACTGCGATATCTCAAAAACTGAGCTATATCGACATATAGTGTACTTAAAAAATATGCTTAAAATATTCGACTTAGCTACAATCCATTGTCAAATCACGTGCGAGGGAATTTGAAATTGCGCTGGAATATGTTATAAAACTTATTTATAAATAAAATTATATCACTAATGTTTTTGCTCTAATAAATTCATTATATTTAGTTCAATTTTTTGTCATTGTTTATAACAAACTTTTATTTATGTATTAATTTTTTTGTTTAAATTTATTTTATTAATATAAATATATGTAAATGACTTATATTATACATTTTTATTTCTATTCTCTAACTTATATATAATAGTTTACAAAAACATTAATTTAAAAATAACAAATTAGGGCTCAAGTTTAAACAACTTAGGTTATATATGCTACAAGAAAAAATTTATATGTCTTAATATGATAAAAAATTATTTAAATATAGTTACGTTAAAATTTTCTTTTATTTTTTTGTGAAAGAAAAATAATTCTTAGTTAATTAATTATTTAAATAAAACTGAATTCATTGTAGACCCTACAAATGAATAGTAAAATTAAAATTTATTGTCACCTCACAACAGTTTAATTACAATAATGTTATCAAATTATTTATTAAGAAATTTATACAAATATTTTTAATTTTTCTACGCTAGAAAGCTAATGAGCTCTTTAGTTATTTTTATATATTTTTAAGGCACATTGTAGAATGCAAATTTGTTAATACAAATTATTTACAAATAAAATGTTATTTAAAACTAATGGAGTGCAATTCAATAACATTGAGACTTTTTATTAATTACAAAAATTTTAGACTATAAACTGAATTTTATTAACTTAATCTATAATATTAAATTTATTACATATTTAAAACTTAACACTAAATTAAAATGACTTGAGAACTAAATCAATTTGATACATATAATTTTTTTTTAATAAAAAAGTTTCACATAAATTAGAATTACACTAAATTATAAAAAAGACTGCAGACATAATACACACACATATTATTATTACCATTGGCAAGACGTTGGATTTTGTTGATTTATTAACTCATAAAACCAAGAGTTCTTAAAGTATTTAACGTTAAATAGATATACTAGTATACAAAATCTACAAGGAACTTTTTTTAAACTAACTTTAAGTAATATAAAAAATAATAATAATAATAATAAATTAAAAAAAATATCAAAGAATATTTAACTATATTAACCTGAAATGCTCTACACGCCTAATGGATCTATTCGTTAAGACTAGCAAGCAGCTGACCGTCCAGAACAAAATGACAGTCCTCAAAATGGTCTCCGAATTGTTTTTTGTGCGTTTATTCCATTCAAAATTTCACGTCTTTGCAAGCGTCGACGATTTGCCTCGTTTAATGTGGTACTACCTAAACGCATTGGCTGCTTACGGTGTGAGAGCATTTCCCTTAGTGCAAAAAAGGCGGCAAGACATAACTGTGGGTAACATTGGCAGTACCGCTTTGGACATGATCCTCATTTTTGATAACTGTCTGCAAGCTGACTGCTTCATTTGGTGAAGCATCATCATGATGATTGCTGTTTCCTAACGATGGTGAACCATTTCCGTAGTGAACACCTTGATGTTGTTTTAGAATTGCCGTCGCATTTTCATGTTGTTGTGCATCTTGCATATGACATGCCTCTAGGCCACTCATTGTATGCGGCACGGCAGTCACACTAACATATTTAGCCTCTTCTGCTGTGAGATACTTGCCGTTGGTTTGATGTTGCACTACGACACTGGTGGTACCATCATTCATATGCGAAACTGTGCCATCGTCCATACTACCACCACCACCGCTGGCATAACCAGTATCTGTCATATGCATTTTATGTGCTGTGCCATCATCGACCACATTTCCGCCACCACTCATATCTATTCTTGGCGGACTACCGTATTCGAAGTGACGCATTGGAAATAATTGGCTTTCGTGCACATATGTGCCATATTGACTCGAATAGGTGCCGTACGGACTGGCAGCCGGTGAGAGTAGACTAAATTGTGGACTCAATTCGTAAGGAGGTTGATAACTAGTCCAGCTATCCATGCTGCCTGGCGGAGTAACTGTTGTTGTTTGTGGGAATGTCGCAAATGGTGGACCCAGAGAAGTATTTAAAGTTGATGTTGGCGGTGTACTAGTCTTAATATAGCCTGTCTTACGTGGTGGTTCATGTTTGCGCCATTTGGCACGGCGATTTTGAAACCAAACCTGTACACGTGATTCACTTAAGTTCAATTTGATTGCAAGTTCTTCACGTGCAAACACATCGGGATACGGTGCACGTTCGAATGCACGTTCTAATTCTTCTAATTGATATGCAGTAAAAGTTGTTCTAAAAATCAAATAAATAAATTATATAAATTATTTGTGAAATACAGAAATCAAAATATTATAAAAAATAAAGACGTTATAAGATCAAATTAACTTACACTTTTTTCTAATAAGAGTGGATGGTAGTTTGGTACAGATATATATAATAAATAATCTGCATCATGATTTGTAGAAGGGAATTAGAGTTACAGTAAATACAAGAAGTATGTATAGGCAATCTGAGGCTATATACAGAATTTGTGGGTCCATACTACTCTGATTAAAATATAAGGTGAATTTTTGTCATTTAAAATACCCGCGCTTTTTTATTCTAGAAACTGTTCTTTTCAGTTGGTGGTGCTATAACTGACGTTAGTGCGAAGAATGTTGCAAAACGGTTTCAGTGACCAGGCTATGTCACAAAAACATATTTACAGGAGTTATAAAAAAATAAACCAAGATTCTTGAAAAGAGTGAACTCTCGTTGGGTGTCGCGTCGACTGAAGGTAAAATGAAATATATGAAAAAAAATCTCTAACCAAACATTATGAACTCCTTAAAGCGGGCCAAGATTTTAACATGGAATATTATTTGAGTTTTCTGCAACGTTTATGTGAAGTTTTTCGTAAAAAGAGCTCAAAATAATGGGCAGACATTTCTTGGTTTTGCATTGGTAGTTTGAGACAATTTCCAAATAAATTCAACTCATACCATTCAACAATCATCGCATTCGCCTGTTTTACCATTGGCTGACTTCGAATTATTTCCTAACTCCAAGAGACCACAATTGCATACTGTTTTCACATGCTTGACAAGATAAGAACCGAATCGCTGCGTAATTTAAAGAGGTTTCTTGAAGCCGACTTTAAATTTTTTTTTTTCTGGATTATCATATTATTTCTGTTACTCCTGAAGCAAGACATTGCCATTAAATTACAGTAAAATAATGGAATCTCCAAAGATATAAATGTAAACCAAAACAGTGGAGTAATCATCTATCCGGTATTAAACAAAAATAAATACTATTATATTTTTGACAACAGATAGTTGTAGTTAAAATGCGAAACTCGAAGCTATTCAATAATAATCAATTATAGTCTAACTAGAAAATCGATCAGAAAAGAACAATATGCAAATATTGTGAGGATTGGTAAAAGAACAACAACTCGTTCAATATAATATGTAAGTACGAAATAAAAAATATATATTTTCATGTAATTATACACACGTTTAAGTAGAAGATATAGTATTGAAAAAATTGTAGAAATATTATGAAATTCAAAAGCAGTTGTTATATTTTTGAATTTTTAAATAATCTCAATAGATACAATCGGACTTACTAAAAGTCAAGTATTTGTATGAAGAAAAACACTCTTTGAGCTTATTTTCCATTTAAAGAAAAATATAGCTATACAGATATATAATTCTTAGAAAATAAGTCTCTTTTTTGCTAAAGTTGTGTATAACATTCCAATAAATGTTTACTGATTTATGGAATTGTTCAAAAAATCTCTACTGAAAACCTGGAACTGTGATATTTTTAAATCGATTCTTAAGTTATGTTAAGAACCTGTCAAAAATAACCATATCTATAGGCTTAAGTATTCTATTCAGTTTTTTGAGATAATTCAATCATAATATATTAAATTTAAATGTCGATAATATACTCAAAAGTGCTCCATATACATTTGCAATCGTTGTAGTTTTGGCCATTATACTACATCTCAACAGTCACATACTGGAAATATCTAAATATTGAGTCCAACTCTACCATGTTGTCAAGTTAAAAGTAAAATTTATGTCAAATTTTACTGGACTGAAGAAATAAGTAAATAAAAGCTTCTAGTGTGAAGACTAGAAGGCTTAATATGTTGATTCTTCTAATCAATTTATAAACAAATGTTATGAAGAAAGTATCACTGGATTGTTTAAACACTTAAAGATCTTAAGATATCAGTTCAATAGAATGCAAAAAGCCAGATCATCCCACAAACACTTGGAGACACAGTATGCGAGATGAATTACAAAGGTACGGCCTGACACGTAATGGAACAGTGATTGCTGTTTAAAGCTGAGTCTGCAGGAAGCACCAAACTAAATACCTATGTTCCCTTGAGAGGTAAAGATGGGTAAAAATTGATTTGATTTCAAATTCAAAATTAGTGAAAATCTAAGCGCTTTGGTTTATGTTAAGACAATATGATGATATCATGACTGTACGGAAGATGGTTGATGTGGTTGCAATCGCTAAAGCAGAGGACTGTATTTGAGAAATCTATAAATCTTGTATTTATCTTTATAAAGTGTATTAAATAAAATGAAATTTGTTAAAGAATCAAATATTTCTTAGGCAAAGTACTTTGATTTCATTCAAAAACTCACTTGTTGCGTCCTAACAGATATCTAATAAAATTGATTATTTTATAATTGATTATAAATAAATTGTCCGGTGGAATTCGTTTAGTGAAACTTTTTTTTTTACCATTAAAATCTAAATTGAATTATATTTTAAAACCCTTGCACAAATCACAATTAAACTCATTATTTTTATACGTTAATTTTATTTCACCCTGCGCTCATTTTTAGTTTTTTATTGTTGCAATTAATTTAATTTAATTGAGAACTCCCGGTGTTTAAATAGACTCCTAACACACAAATAAAAAACTAGATTTCCCGTCGTCACAACAATTTCCCACCCTCTCTCTCTGTTATGCCTAACCTCTAACACACTGCATCTGACACATTAAAACGATACGAATAGTATTGAAGTCTGTGGGTAGTATGAATTGATAACCCACAAAAAGCAAAAAGCGAGACTTACCGTGTTTTCTTTTTTTTGATTCCATTCGGATCGCCTTTCTTCTTATCATTTTTCTTTGCTGTTGGTGTGCTTGTGTTCGCTATAGCAGATGCTGCGCCACTGCCATTGCTGGTACCATTTGAATTCGATGAGCTGTGCGCATCACCATTTGATATTTGACACATTTCATCAGCTTTTTTGTGTTTGGATGACATTGCCGATGTGGTAACAGCAATTGTAGCGCCACCAGTGCTTGCAGTCGTTGTGGGCAGTACGCCATTACCGTTTATGAGACCACCATCGGCGTTATTATTATTTGGCATATTGATGAGTCCATTTGCAGGAGTTGCCATACCACCACCAGCTGTGCCGCTATGCTGATTATTAACTTCACCATTCAATACGGCCACATCGTGCGTTGCATGTGGACTGCCTGAATACAAGTGTTGCATATGATGATCATATTCAATTTTAGCAGCGGAATTCGGTGAGTAATCTATTTTACCATTACTGTTGATGTGAGCATGATAGTCATTAAGCATAGCAGCAGAATGTTGCATTTGCTTGTGATGCACTAAACCGTTTGGTGTGGCTATTGTGGGCGCATGAGGTGGCGAATAATGTTGCTGATGTTGTGGGTGCTGTACATCCAATTTATGCGATGAGATGTATTCGTACTTTTGAGTAGGCGAATAACAGCCCATCTTGTTAACACTATGCACGAAATCTAACTTTGGACCATAGTCTTGTGGTTTGTAAGCGTCTAGTTTTGGCGAACCATTGGGTAAAAGAGTATTGCAATCAGGCAAGCGTTGTGTACACATGTCATTGCTGTTGACATGTTGCACAACAGCACCGCTAGGTAGGCCCAGCATTACTGGATGCAATGCATGTGTACTACCATTTGTTGTTAATGTCTTTGAACCATCCAAAGGACTAAGGGGTCCAGAAAAATCATTAAAAATTTGATCATCAAACGTGGCATGTTCCATTTCGCAAAATATTTTTAACCAAATATTTTTTATTGTGAATAATAAATTATTTGTACAGCTGAATTTAATCTAAACTATTTTTAATACCAGCAACAATAACTCTTTGGGTTAATTGTTAATCAAATAATAAAATGAAATTATAATTTAATCAATTTAATTATTTAATTCAATAAAAGTTCAGAATATTTCGTCTTTTCCGTACTTAAGCTGTTTAATTAGTTTAATTGATTATGTCAACACTTTTCGATATCCTCGGAGTTATCAATTTGCTTAATGGATTGGATCCATTCAGTTCGGTTTCAGTTTTGTGGATGTGTAAGGCACTTAATCCATTTTTACTAATCAAAGTGCGCGTAAAAATTAAATCAAAATCAATTAATACAATTGTTCAAAAATTGATGGCAATTGCTGTCTTCCAGCAGTTCAATCCCAGACAGTGAGACCAGACCATAAAGACCACACAGCACACAAAATTAAATTGTTGTAAATTAATTAATTGCATTTGCGAGTTTGTCTGCCGTATATCAAATTTCATAAATTTATCGCACACTTTTTTAATTTATTTTTAAACACTTGTTGCGCTTTTATCGTACACGATAAGCGAGCAGCTCAATCTCGATCAAGCTTAGCTTGTAAAATTAATGTTTATTGAATTATTTAATTGAAGGAATTAAATTGATTTTAAATATTCAGTACATCGGAGAATGGCCAAGTATTGTCTATAATATCAATAAATCCAAAATCCAACACTTTTGTTTTTATATATAAAAGATTAAAGTTAAAGTTAATTTCTGAAATCAAAAACACAGTCTACGTTGCACTGTTGCACGGTCGGTGTCTATGCCCTTAATTGTGGCAACAAACCTAGATGATTGCCTTTTTATACCCAATTTAGCTGTAAATTAATTCTAAGCATTTTTCCACCAATCAGCGAACAGTAATGGCTGACCGCCTGCCGATCTCGTACTTCACGTATAAGTGTGTGTGCAGACGCTGTATTTGTGTACGTAGCATTCATTCGGTGATCATGTGTAGTCGAATAAAGACAGCAGCATATAAGAGGTGCTGTGTCATGCCGTGTACTGTGTTAGGGCGTGACTTACTGAGTAATTCTGTACACACATGTAAGAAGATTTTCTAAGCAAATGTATGTGACTTCCTGCCTTGGCTTGACTATTTGGTATTTTGCAACAACTTTGAACTGCTTGTGTCCGGATTCACTGTGAGTGCTTTTCGTGCTGTATCGCTTAGATTCGTTGACAAAAAGTGAACTTTTTGAAAGATCATATTTTGCAAGTATTCCATAGAATTTTTTCAATATCTTTGCAGTATCTTTATATTCTTGTCTAGATTGTAGTTGCTTAATTTAACTATTTTTATATATTTAATATTAAAAATAAATATTTTTCTTTTATTTATAAAAATGTTTTTGACATTTTTATTTTAGTGGTCGAGTAGGCAGGGGTTTAAGGAGATGAAAACGGCTTTTATTTACTGAGGTTTTAAAATAGTTGAAAGACAGCGATGGTACTTATTTTTGGGCAATGAAATATTTATTTTCTTACGATTTTAACCACTCTATCAATTACAACAGCTAGCTTCGACAGATAATTTTCTATTATGAAAAAAATTAATACTCTACCAGGGAATGTAATTAGCTAACATAGAGACTAAGCGATATTACAATTCATCCAGATGAAGTGATAACTCTTTTATCTACAAAATATCTACCTATGAAATTACTAGGAATATTTTTCAGTTTTTAAACTATAAGCCCCTCTCGAACTAAATTTGTGGTTATCGGCCCGGGTAGAGGAATAGTTCTTCTCTTTTAAAGCACTTAATATATTAATAATAATATATTTTGATGATTCACAAATATATGGTTAAGTTAACTTTTTCATATATTATATAGTATTAATATTTATTTTTGTTGTACAACTCTCCTTATTCTTATGCTAAACACAATAATAATAATAATAATAATAATAATAATAATAATAAAAATTACTAAGAACTCAAAACAAATATATTTTTATAAAATTTTGAATTTATTTATCGACCTGTTTTGTATTAATGGTTTTTATATATTTTTTTTATCCGGCAAACGTTGAATTATTTAACAAATAATGACCTAACATATAGCCGCATAAAAAATATATAAAAACCACAAATATATTATTTATAATCATTGTCCAATACACAAGCCATCATTTTGTGATTTGCTGAACTTTTATCTTTTTTGCTCTATCCATATATCTTTTGCATTCATTTTTCACCAATGTCATCATATCTCCGTGTTATTTGATATATTTTTTTAGAAAATCAATTGGCTGCGTGACGTTTAGCGCCAAAAGTATGTACCTCAGATATATTCCGAACTTGAAGCGTTTATTTTGTATCCATTTTTTTAAGATCAACTGCGGAATTATATCACTAGGGACTAGGATTAGATTGTCCTATAGCAAAATCTGTTCCAAACATGTAGCCTAAAATATATTAGACCTCACACATTTATTTTGCATATATATTTCCAGTTAAGCTTATATCACAGCTATTAGTTTTCACAGATAATATCTTCTACACATCCCAACAAATAGACGTACAGTCTTTCTAGTTTTGGATACTATATTAGTAATTAAGTTTTAAAAAAAAAAACTGTTACGCCTATAATTTAGTCTTCAGTGCACACAATAATTTTGATCGTAAACCAATTATCTTTCGGGCCATTGCCTACATTAATTCTTATATTGTTATGTTGAAAACGGATAGACTAAAATATTCATCCTGATGTTTCTTAATGTATGTATTTTTAAGGAAAATCTTAACTAAACTTCAAAACAAATTATAGTAAAAATACTACTTTCTTTTAGATTCATGTAGCTTTTGCGAAAAAATAATTTTCATTTCAAAAAATCATCATCTGTGCAACTACGTCCGGCGTTTGGTCTCACAGTTTAAATAAAGTGAACATTTTTTAACATATCTTGATAATAAATTGATATGCAGTAACTCTCCGAGAGATCTACGTTTATGCAGTTGCAAAATAGATCGCTCTTACTAATAAATTATATATTTTTCTGTCATTTACGTAAAACTTACAAATAATAACATGAATCTACACTTTGAGAAAACAATAATTTGAAACTTCTTCTAATATTTGACTAGGTGATCTTTTCTGATTTTTTCATTAAAATCTCTGTTGTTAACTTCAACACTATTAATGGCATATAATACTATTTATGGAAGATTTGTTACTGTATTAGGTTTTCTATTTTGTATTGGATCTATTAATATTTTTGTTTTGTCAAACAACTTTAAAATTAAATAATTCTGGGGGGTTATAAGGTTATCCTAAACAAAAGAAGATCCAAAAATTGGATTAATTTTGGACGTATGATCCATTAGGATATTGTTTGAAAAACTTTACATTTTTCTATTGTGAGTTGGAAATCTTGACTCAAAGAAACATAAAACTTTCTTTAGAGAAAAAGTCCCTTTACTTAACTAAGGTTATACATAAAGTATTATATCGGAAAGAATAGTCTATGAATAGTCTATAGTCTATTGTTAAAATAAACATGATGCATTTTCTTTAACTTAATAAATTAAAAATGTAACAGTTTCTTCTAACGTCCTTTCGCTATTAACCATAACAAAATGATCTGTAAGGAACAAATTCATCTGTTTTGTTATCACATTAACGTAATTCTACAATATCTCTAATAATTTTTAAATTTTAGGTGGATACATTAAATACATATAAAATTATTATGCATATGTCCTTTTGACTTATCCGACTATAAAGATTTGTTTTTCTCATACTGAAGCTTCAGTCCACACATTCTATTCAACATATTTGGAAGTAGAAGATTTGTGCTTGTCAGGCAAAATTTCACATAGTCAAAAATTATTTCTTATTGTTTTGTCTTGACAAAGATTGATTTCTAAATTTTAGTACAGATTATCTCCTATAATATTGACTTTACAGTCTGAATTGTAGTTCACTCCCACAGTATTTGTCGATAGACAATTTTGCATTCACATTGTCTATTGTCTGGGGGTTAGTTTTAGCAACAGAAATATACAGATATTTCTTCGGTATATTTAATTTAGAAGAATTATTGCAATCAATTATTTTTCGATTCATATTTTTTTAGCCATCTATGTTTTAGGAAGGCTCAAGGAACTTTAAATTACGACGAATAAACGGAGCCGTTGCGTGGCGAAACCAACGAAACGAAATTATCTGAAAGTGTTTGCAAATTCTGTTGCAATTATAGTGCACTTTCCAGTTTGATTCAAAAACCAATATTAAGAATATCTGTGCAGTAAAAGTACACTTAGATAAGTTTTTTGAATAACAGCAATCAATACAGTTATTCTTTTTTCGATCACATTTTGTATTTTTCATTAAATAAGGATATAATAATATATTAATATACAATATAATAATATTTAAATATAAGGATATACATTAAGTATGCTGAATTTCAATCTGATGACTAAGTCTATGAGTGAGATCGTTCATTGTTTCAGTTATGGAGTTTTCAGATATATTAAGATATATACCTCCAGTAGAAAGATTAATATTCAGGACTGTTAATTGGCAGTTTGTTCTTGTTGATACTATAGTCATCCTTTTATATAAGGGCCGTAGCCAGAAGGATTATCTGATCATTATAGCAATTCAAAAAAATGTTATATTATTAAACAGTCATAATGCCCTTCAATCTATTTGTGTTAGCTAATCTAAGGCAGATACTGCCTTAGATTAAAAGCTTTTAGTCAAAGTTTAAAAAACATTTAGCAAGTCTACAGATTTTTTACGGCGAAATCAAGAATTAGACTTTATAAATCAATACTTTTTAGTCAGTTCAAATCTAAATTGTTTGCTTTTTGTAAAAATGTGTTTCTGTCACGACACATACCTATTCCACCAAATACCCGTATGATAGTAAGGAAAGTTTAAAATTGAATTAAGAACATTATTTTCATATATAATCTACATTTTGAGTAGATTCAATCTACTAAATTTTTCATAAAAAATTTTTACAAGGCATTGTTCTACACTGATTTTAGACACTTGGCCTGGGAAACACTTGGGAAAGAATGTGAGAATGCTGTAAAGTGGGCTAAGATAGAACCTCCAATGAAGAATTAGAAAATTGTTACAAAATATTATTTATAACAATATATAATAATAAAAACAGTAACAATAATGTTTATAAGTAAAATATGTAACCTAAAATATAGGGTTTTACTTTAAAAAAAATTTTTTTTAATATCGTAAATTGTAATACAATTTTCATATAATCTTTCTAAAAACGTAACAGATTATGTCGCAATTTAATTTTCTTTAAGTTAGCTATCTAAGAGACCAATCGTTTAGTTATAAGTATACTATATCATATATATCATGTTACAATAGATACTCATATCAATATCATAGATATTCAGTTACCTCAAGATCTGATAAAGGATTAAATAAATTTCTGCATATTTCTAGACCTTTGCATGAGTCAAAATGTAAAAATAAACATATATCATAAAACTCATACAATTAACTATCTGCATCAAGGGAATATTTTCTCTCCAATCTAAAGATTATACTATTTTAAGATTTTTTGTAACCAGATGGTGTAATATCAGCTACTCATGGCTTGTAATTTCGGATCAGTTGCAATATATTAGGTTGATAAAAATTAAGTAAACAAACTCACACTTTGGATTTCACTTTGGCTTTAAAACCCTCAGCAAAGTGGATTTGAAACTTTCAGTGGGGTGGATTTGGAACCCATCTAGCTGTTGATAAGTGAAGATTGGAACGTGTGATATACTTTGTTTATGTAGCAACTATTATAAGAAACAAAAATGATGATAGTTTAACAATTCAATTAGTTTTGTTAATATACGGTACTATCGATACCATTTTGAGAAACAGATCCCTTTAGGCATACAATAATCACGCTCTGCTATTCTCTTATCTTATTTGTCCTATTATGTGGTGTGTAAATAAATAAGAGTATTATACAAGTATTAATCTAAACAATTTCTTGAACAGAAAATAACTAGATTTTAAATTTTAAAATATAAATCAAATATAATTGGTTTCAAAATTGTAAAATATGTCGTCGTCTGCATATATATTAAAGCTATACCGTTTTATAGAAGAAAATTTATTGCTTAAACATTATGGAATAATAGATTTAAGATAAAATTTCAGAAGAGAAAATTGCAATAACCTTCCATATACGAGTATTGTCACCGATATTTAAAATATTGCCAATTAAACGTTTACCTTTCATTAACATATAGGTGATGTTCGCTGAAATTATGGATAATGACTTTGAGAGAA